TTTTGATAGAGGCATGCTAGAGCGATGAAAACGCCTTAGATGTGCTCAGCTCGACGATACGGATCGACTGATATGCAACATGACCCTTTCCGGTCAGGTCATGACCTTGACCTGAGGTCAAATTTTCAAGTTGACCTTTCAAGGTCAAGTTATAGTTCATTCGATGCGTCTTGACGAGAGGAACACGATGCCGGTAAAAGTAAGCTCGTACAAGGCTTGGGTCAAAAGTTATTGCAGAAAAACTGTTTTCGAAAAAATCGGCTATTTTTGCAGTTTTTGCCCCCTGCAGGCAAAACCGTTGACGTTAGGTCAAATCTGAGAGAATTACTCAGAAAGGGCGTTAATAGGGCTATCGAATGCGCTTTTCCGCGGCGCTGTAGCTCTATCGGTTCCCGAGTTATGCGTTAGCTTCTTGGAAATTGTCGACGTTCGACCTGAAAATCGGCGAAATTTTGCCTTCAATGACCTCTGGTGACCTGACCTTTGACCTGACCAAAAAATTGACCGAAGTGATTTCGTCATTATTTTTGACGCTCTTTCGAACGCCGCCTTCCGCGTATCGCTACGTGGCCCAGGAGCCGAGTTAGAAGGGGGGGTGTTCAAACACCCCCCCCCCCCCCAGCAGGGCGTGGAAATCCAGGACCCCCAGCCGGGCGCGGGTTAAAAAGTAATGAGGTTTAGTGGCGTCAAAATGCAAATATATATTGTAAAATTATATACCAGCATGACGAGCATTCTGGGACATTTTGATTTCATGCAGACACGATGTGAAGGAACGTCCATCGTGTATTTTACTTATGCTTGAAGTTACCCCCTCTCTCACCGACACGAATCAGCCCGCCTGAGCACGTGTTGAACAGCACCATGGACTCCCATGCTCATTAGGCGGACTGAAAAGGTTCCTATCACCCATTTTCAGCTCTGCCAGATATTTCCAATGTTTTCTTGTTATATCTGCCATACCTGGGTCCAAAAACTAGAAGTCTAGAAAGGGCAGGTCGAGGATTTTGCTACTGGCGGCCCTGGTGGTGTCTGATTCGCTGTTTTTGTTTCTCCCTGGAGACTGATTCTTCAGAGGATGCACATACGCCAGATGGACCGTTTGAAGGTTATTTATGACTACAAGCTTGTTCGTGCATTATTTAACGTCTTTCTGAGGTATCCCCTTGATGATCGTATGCTTCGAACTGCCTCAATGCTTCAAAATCATCGTTTTGTGTCGTTCCTTACTGAACGGCGGTGGACCATGCGTGCCCGATTGGTGGGACATTTTCAGGCTCCACTGGGGCCGAGGCCTTCGGTTAAAAGGGACAAATCATGACACCATACAAAATGTCCCAGATTTATCTATCACGTGCATTGCTTTTTTGCACAAGATTTTTCGATTTAGGGACCACCATTGACGTTTACTTTTTAACAGTTAAAAAAAATCACCCTGTACTTTCCACCTCATGTTACTACTCAAACATAAAACCCGATAAGTAAAACAAAACAGATAACCGTACGTTGATCGAGCTAAACAGACGTTTTGCTTCACCCCCTAAACGTTCTAACGTTCACTGTTTCACCGGTATTGTTATCTGCGAGCTTATTTATTTATTTTCTGTGGCTCGGCTGCTCACGATGCCCCGCCTTCATGTGTCGATACACGTGTCTACACGTGGTAGACCACCCCAGTAGTCACGTGGTACACGTGCGACCCATGGTATAACAAATACCACGGACGGGAATACATTGGAATTCCCGAATGTTTCTCGTGCCCTTATCGCGTCCCATCCCAGCGTTCTACCAGTGGTTGCAACAGAGGCGATGTGGCGGCGGTGGGAGCCTAGGTCTGTCACCTCAGTGACATCCTGCCCCCTGATGTCTAATCACCTGTCACGTGTCACGTGCAGCGGCTGATGTCACATCACCGAGAAATGACGTCATATTTACTGTCGTTTGGCGGTGTGCCCTAAGAGTTGTCTTGTCATTGCTTGCAATAAATATAAACAGCCAGCTGGTTTTAAATAAACTGTGTCGTCTTTTTGACCTATGTCCTGGCGGTTGCATTGCCTTTGACAGTGTCGTGAGTAAGGGCCCGAACAATTTTTTGTCTTTTTCCATGGTAGAGCAAAAAGAAAGCGATTGCCAAAATCATCAGAAACCCGTAATAAATCTGGTCGTCGTTTTTCTTTTGGCGCAACCTGAGATCACGAGCGTTAACCCTCGCCCCGCTGATGGGGGGGGGGCAATTTACCCCCCCCCCCCCGTGGACTGTTTTTTCCTGAATAGCGAGACAACGGCGGCGCGCAGCGCCACCAAATTTTTCAGTGCCTTCCCGAGAATTAATTTGACACCTTCACACAAAATGTCAAGTCTTAGGTCACCTTAGGTCAGGAGTTATTGAGGTCAAACTGAGGTCTTGTTCGAGCAAACAAGAGCACAAAACATGAAATCTTCAAACGCTCACAAAAGATACAGTTACTAATCAATTTCGAAGTTCATTATGTGTTCATGTAGAGAAAAACGGCGCTACAAAACTGTTATTTCGGATTTTCAACATTTTTAGACTTTGGCCCAAAAAATTAAAAAAGGTGATTTTTTTCTTTGGAAAAACGCAAAAAATCACAAAAGTTTTCCGAATTTCAAAAAAACGGAATGTATGTGATAGTCCCTGCGCTCTTCTATCTCCATACCAAATTTTAGATCGATACCTCCTTTTTTGGCCAAGTTATAGCGAAAAAAAAAAACTGTTCAAAATTGATAACATCACATTTTTGAACTCAATTTCTAGCAATTCCAGACTACGTAGCGCAAAAGAAAGACCACCATTGAACTCCCCGCGACGAGCTGCATCGAATCGATACCCATTTTATGCAAAAATATCAACTTTGAAATTTGACTTAATTTGACCTGACCTTGACCTGACCAGTGAACTTCACCAGAACATAATCTTAACTGGTCCCAAAGGCTGCCTGACCCACATAATCGCATTGGCATATAAAATGAACCATAAACATGCATCACATGGTATTTTCATATTGTGACCCTTAGTGACCTGACCTCTGTGACCTGACATGGTATCAGTGACCTCAAATAGCAAAATATATGTTTGACGAGCAATTCCCTCTCGATGATTTTCAATAAAATGCATTTTACTCTATTTTACAACGCATTTCTTGAAATGCCTGTAAACGGTGAAATTCGACATTTGACCTAGCCTGTGACGTCATCGGTCTGACCCGGGGTCAAAAGGTAGTGCCCTGTTGCGGCTATCCAACACATTTTGCTGCCTGTCGCTATGTTGCGTGGTTCTCGAGATCTTAGGGGGGGACCAAATTGCTCCCTTCCCCCCTCCAACAGGGCGGGTTGTTCGGCAGACCCCAAAGGGGCGCGGGTTAACCCGCGCCCGGCTGGGGGTCCTGGATTTCCACGCCCTGCTGGGGGGGGGGGGTGTTTGAACACCCCCCTTCTAACTCGGCTCCTGGGCCACGTAGCGATACGCAGAAGGCGGCGTTCGAAAGAGCGTCAAAAATAATGAGGAAATCACTTCGGTCAATTTTTTGGTCAGGTCAAAGGTCAGGTCACCAGAGGTCATCGAAGGCAAAATTTCGCCGATTTCCAGGTCGAATGTCGACAATTTCCAAGAAGCCAACGCATAACTCGGGAACCAATAGAGCTACAGCGCCGCGGAAAAGCGCATTCGATAGCCCTATTAACGCCCTTTCTGAGTAATTCTCTCAGATTTGACCTAACGTCAACGGTTTTGCCTGCAGGGGGCAAAAACTGCAAAAATAGCCGATTTTTTCGGAAACAGTTTTTCTGCAATAACTTTTGACCCAAGCCTTGTACGAGCTTACTTTTACCGGCATCGTGTTCCTCTCGTCAAGACGCATCGAATGAACTATAACTTGACCTTGAAAGGTCAACTTGAAAATTTGACCTCAGGTCAAGGTCATGACCTGACCGGAAAGGGTCATGTTGCATATCAGTCGATCCGTATCGTCGAGCTGAACACATCTAAGGCGTTTTCATCGCTCTAGCATGCCTCTATCAAAAGTTATTTGCGAAAAACTGTTAGATATCATTCGTGACCTAAGATGACCTCAGGGCATAAACAGGGGTCACGGACACCATTTTCATGTTCAGTGTGTCTAAACCACTTGTAATTCAGTGTTTGGGAGTGTTTATAACGTCTTTCGTCCAAAAGAGGCGTATTTCAATTTTCTCCCATTGACTTATAATGGGGAGGTCGCAAAATTGACCTGACCTTAGGTCATCGATATCAAAATTCTGAGATATACATTTTTTACATGCTATTGCTCTTAGCAATCGCTGAAAGTTTCAAAGCGATCGGTCACTCGGTGTAGCTATGACAGACATTGAAACTTTTTATGAGGTGAGGTCACTTAAAGTGACCTGGTGACCTGACCTTGAATGACCTTGGTCTGAAATTTTCACAACATGTGTAGAATTGATGTATGATAAGGTATACCAAAAACGGCGGCGCTCCGCGCCGCCGTTTTTGAGATATTCGCGAAAAACCACAAGGGGGGGGGGGTGTTCAAACACCCCCCCCAGCAGGGCGCGGGTTAATCAAAGATTAAATTTTCTGAAGAAATCACTTGCAAATCAAACGCTCTTTACTCCTGCAGTTGCTAGAGATCAGCCACGCAATGCCCACTCGAAGGGGAGGCGTTATATGTGCATATGCTCCCATGCGATTACTTCTAAAAAGTATGCAACTTGAGACGCACAAAGCATATTATACGGAAGTTCACTGTTAGATGTCTCAAATCAGTCGGCTAAACATTTCAATATAAAGTATTGCTTCGGATGAAAGCTGGTAGCCTACAAGTCACAGGTATGCCTACAATTTGAGATCGGGCTGGCAGGGATAGAGTAACTCGTGCTTCTGTGCATCCCCCATGTCAGTTACCATTATCTTCCTCCACCTTTTTAACCGCAATAAAATACCAAGGTCCCCGTTCACTCCAGCAAACATCCCTCTCCTTTCGTGGATTATTATTCGTATTACTTTGATATCGAACAAACTCGAGAGCACTCTCGATTCTACCGTTATACAATACGTTAATTCTAGCGCGCACATTGGTCCTGCCTGACAGGTGGGCCAGCCGCGGTAACTGGCATCTCTACTGTGGACCGGTCCCTGGGAGCTCACATCTCACTTTGGAGCTTACTCTCACGGCCCCAGCGTCGAGCCGAACGCACACATGTGGGCCGTTTATCCGCCGAGAGCATTGTTGTTGTGGAGGCTCAGTGGCCGAGTTGTTCGTGGCTGGCGACGGGTCGGTGAAACACACACGGTTGGCTCTCATTCCCAACAGTTATTGTTCACTGTGGCCGAAGAGAAGCATGTTTCTGAAGACTGAAGTTTTCCTCCGGTCGCGGCCGGCTGGAGCCTGGTGTGGAAGCGCCACTGCACTGAGGCGACGGCAGCGGCCTCTGTTCTCGCGATGGTAACGGCAGCTGCGACGCTTTGCGACCGGATTCGGCATCGAGAATTGGGAGAAGCGGGATGGAGCGGGGCCAACAGTCACCGAGACACCCACGAGAATCACCAGACCGGCGAGCTCTCTCAAACATCCACTCTGTCCATCGCTAGAGAGCCGTGAGTTCGTACGGCAATAACACACCGGTCGGTGTCGCGGTGTGCACCGCTCACAGGAACGGCAGCACGGCTGAGCGACCGCGTCACCCTAGCGGCAAACGCGGGAACTAGTAGTGCAATCTATAGCCGCCAGGCGCCCAGACAAAGCAAAGCGGCGTGCGGGATAAAACATTTCAGCGATTCAAACAGACCCTCTATCTCACAGCTCACACCGTATCAAAGCAGAGTGCTGACGTGTGAGAGCCTCATCGCGTCACAAACTATTTTGACAAACATCTCTGAGTGTAGCCTCTTAGCACTCATCGGCCACTGACGCGCGCGGTCACCGAAAAAGCAGCGCACAAATTTCGACAGATCACGGGAAGTGGTCCCTGCTCTCTAGATACACAATAGCACGGCTCTGGGGGGTCTGAGAGGCCGGTATGCAGCCTGTCCGGCGCACACACGGCCTCAGTAGAACTCCCTGTTCTGTGTGTGTCGGCATTCACCACATCGCGCCGTCCATACCGTCCGGGTCAGACGGAGCCACAAAAATATGACGTCATCGGGAAAGGCGGCACACCACTGGAAGGGCCAAATCTAGTCAGCTGATAGCGCTGGTTTTGTGCTGAGAACGGCTGTAGTTGAGTAATTCGTGTCGCTAGCAAGTGTGCGATCAATGACTGTGCACTTGGTGCACGTTTGTGCATGGTATGTTTGTGCCTCTTGCGCTTGAGTGTATGTTTAGCACAGGGATTTTCATCCAGTTCTCACTAACGCACGAGTGATCTCGTTGGTCGCTCTCACTTTTTCGCTGCACTCTCAGAACGCTGGGCGTCCATCTGACATTGTTCCTGATGCCTTGGTGACACTGGCGTACCTGACACTGGACTCCTGTACTTGGTACTGGTACTCGTCGGTACCAATACTTTTCTATACTTCTCAGCACCCCATCACACCGCGGCAGTCCCCTTCTCCATTTACCACCCCTTTCCTCCCTCGGTAGCCGTCCTGAGCTTCTCACCTAGCCAACTGAGTGTGACACGACCCCCGCGCCCGTCGCCAACCATCCCACGATGTCCGGCGTCCCTTCGGTGGTCGGCGACGAGCCCCGGCGCCGCGGCACCCCCACTTACCAACTAGCTCATCTTCAAACCGATCGCGACTGGCGGAGCAACGCTCCAGCGCTGGCGGGGACCGTGGGCAGACGGTCCCGGTCAAACGCCGAAAGGGTCGCGCCGCTAGTCGAGAACGCTAGTGTCCTCTCGCCGCCGGCTACCGCCCACAGGTCGACTTGTATTCAGTGGGCTCATGTAAGTCGGTGGACGGCGGGCGGTGCCGAACGGCGATTTCCCCTCAAATTAGACCCAACCGCGGTGCGAGTGTGATGATTTCGGTTCGCATGTGGTGTCTCGCAGTGTCAGACAGTGCCACTCTCTCCAGATGTTGGTGAGTGTCATCTTTCGCAGTGTCAGCGGGAAGTGACTCATGCTTTTGTCAGGTCACTCTTTTGTGCGTTTTGTTGGTTGTATCGACAAGCCAGCTTTCTCATATTTCTCGCCTGATCGCTGTTAGATTCGCAGCCTTGTTCTAGCGGCTTTGATGTTTGAGACTTGCTCCCAGGATAGGTTGCAACGTGTTATCGTCCCGCCTGATTTTCCCAATGACGTCATATATCTGCGGCATCGCCAGCCCTTGCTGCGGCGGCTGTCCACGACCCGAGCGTAATTCACTGCACTGCGCGCAGAGAAAGAGGACAGAGCGCGAGAGGAGCGAGAGTGCGGGAGGACGTCCGTTCGCGCAGGCCCCGCAGAAGGAGAGTCGAAGAGCACGTCGTCTGTGGCGCTACAAATATCCCAATGTGGCGTACGTCTTCACGAAGGGTGCGTCAAGCCGACAAGTTTCTCTGCGGGAAAGAAATGGCACGGGTTAGAAGGTATTGCAAATATATCCCGTTGGGCTGTTCGTTTGAGCAATGACCAGGAAATTAGGTTGGTTTGAAGATGCATTTACTAATTACTATATCAGGTTGCAAAGCCGAGAGGGTAAAGAACTGATTTGTCCAGATTGTTTTCTTTTGTAATGGTCAAGGACGAAAGACTTGGCAAGAAATATTTACAAGTTTGCTCATAATTCGATACATTTTTTCTGACTGTAGCAACATAACAAACATTTTCCTTTTGAAATTAGTAAGGATCTCAAAAGAAGCGACACCGGTACGAAAGTGCATGGTAAATAGTGACGGACATAAATATTGGCAGGCTCAAACGAATTAATAATTAATTCATGTATCCTTCCGATTGAAGAAATAAAACGAGCAATGTCTCCAGTCTTCAAGACAAATTATGCCCTATGAATAGGTAACGGTGCAAATTACCTACCATACAGTAATTATTAGACAGTAATTATTTGTAAGTGTTGCATAAATTACTATGCATGACAAACGCGTTATACAAAAACAACTTGCATTCCTGGAGTCGCTGAGTTACATGCACAACTTTAAGTCAAATTGACTTTCCAACTGCAATTTTACCAAAAACTTGACAGATACTCGCTATTGTCGCGAGTCGATCGTAGTGTCATCCAGCGAGCACTTCATTAAAGGGACAGTATCATCGAAAAAAAAATCCATGTATGGAGCTGATTTTTTTTTTTACTAGCATTTCTTATATTTCTGAATCAGAAAAACATAGTTTGAGGACCGAACTCGGTGAAAAATATTGCAACCACATTTCATTTTCATGATTCATTTTCATGAGCGAACCACCACTATACAAGCATGGCCGCCAGTTTGGAAGCATGCAAAATTACTACAGAACTGGCGCAGATAATACATTATTGACGCTACGCTTACGCGGTCGTTCTTCTGATTGAGTTGTCCTTAGGGAGAGGTAGCCTTAGGTATTGCCTATAAAAATATAACGTGACAATTGGAGGGAGTGACAATTAGACGTGACAATTGACAATGGGAGAAAATATCACGTGACAATCACGTGATAAACGTCATACATTGGAGGGAGATTGTGATTCAAGCTGGAGGAATTCCTTTGTTGAGCCGCTAGAATCCGAAGGAAACAGCGGAAATTGCCTACGACTATTTAATGAATTTAACGGTGATGAATAAGTGCGAAAAACGTTTTGGCTTTATAAAATTTGATAAAATGACCAGGGTAAAAGTTTTATTACTGGCGGTCAATTCAAAACGGCGCAAACATTTAAACAGTGAAGATAGTGAAGCACGATTCAAAGTGTGGTACACTTTTCGTACTTTGAGCGGCGATAGCGGGATAACGGTGTGGAGTTTCGAGGATCGGTCTTCAGTTCCCGGACCAGAAAGGTGGGGCCTATGCAATGTCAAATTTCATCAAAATGGTGATACTGTCCCTTTAACTATCATTTCGGACGGACATCACGCTGCCTAGTGGCCACAAATGTGCTGAGAGTTTGGTACAGGCATGCCTCAGGCAGCTGGCTTACACAGGTCCGTCTGAATGTTCAGCCATCGAACCACCACGCGACGAGTCGGTTCCGGGTTGCTGACGCACGAAACAGCGTGAAAAAGAGGGCAGCACAAGCGAGGTCAGTCAGCTGCTGCCGTGCTGCCATTTCCTGGCGGGCGTACCGCGAAAATTGCACGTGCAAGCTGAGAGGCTGTGATCGCTGCTGCCAAAAATGCCGTAGGGCAACGGCAACTCTGATGTGCACAAGAAATGCTATAGGTATCGATTCGAAGAGACGTCTTGTAATAGTTGAGTGACAACTGTAAAACAAAACAAAATGATTTGGCATCCTACAACCATGTTTATGTTACAGGGAGTATGCGATTTCAGTTAGTTTGCAACGACCCTAGGGTGGTTGTAACCTCCCTGAACGATCAGTTTGTTTGCAACGACCCTAGGGACGTTACAAAATAACTGCTCGTTCCGGGACGTTGTAACGAAACTAGGGTCGTTGCAACCTCCCTAGTTAGTATGCAACGAACCTAGGGTTGTTACAAAATAACTAGGGAGTTTAAGAATTCATCGAGTCTCGTTTTCACAGTCAACAATCTTGTCCAATGGAAATCTTGTTCAATCTAGTTCAGTTTAAAAGAAAAGGAGAACAAAATTTGAACATTGAGCTCAGGAGTATATGTGGTGCCCGGGACAAAGCACGTAACTGTGATAATTTAGGCTGCATTATATCGCCAGCAGATGCTAACATGAAGAAAATATAGTTACTGGGGTAAGTGTGATGGATATTCGTCGATATCCGTGTGCGGGTTATCCCTCACACTTTTAGGGGTGCGGGTCGGATAAAACCCCTCGTTTTTTCGCGATTATCTCGCGCTAAAAGCGGCCGATCGTGACGAAGCTTTGAGTGTCCTCAAACTTATCTTCGTTACTGGTTAGGTACACATTCCCTATACAGTTCATGATCCTGAAACCAATGACCTTTGACCGTTGATCTAATTTCTGAGACCATCGCAGACCGAAATGATTTGCCGTTAATGTTGGCGCAAATAAAATTGCGTTTCCAGACTTCTATTGTGATTACATATACATAAACGTGCCAACATGTGAACTGATGGTTGTCCCATGCATCATGATGGGTTTCAAGTTGGCTTGTCAGTTGTCGGCCAGGTCAAGGTCATTGACGTTTGGTGACTTCGGGTGACTTTCAAAATTTACGATTTTAGGGAAATTTTTTAGCCTATTTCGAATCCAGCATTCGTTGAGACATTTTAGAAGTTACTTATAGTTGTGGTGCCAATGCAACTTGCTACGAAGCTGTCGCTGGTGGTTTAGGTACAGCTGCTACACTCAGAAAACACTTTGAGAACATTTTTGAATAAGGGCTCATATGAGTGCCAAAACAGGGCTCAAATCTGTATGATTTTAAAATCGGGATCAGTTAGGCGCCCTTTTCGGGCTCAAAGTACATTAGCCCCGAAAGCGGCATCAGTTCGTCTTCCTTTTCGGGCTCAATTCGAGCTGCGTTTTAGGGCTCCATACGACATTCCGCCATTCCGTCTTTTGCTGTTTTCAGTGCCATGTGTTGGTGTACCTACCGCCGTGATTTCAAAATGAATGGTAAGTTATTAGTTATCAGTTATCGCTATCTTTTAGAAAAAATCAAGATGTTGATGCTCATGCCATTTTAATCCCTTATCAATTAAAATTGTGGTGGCATTTGTTCAGAAAAGGTCTGATCTACAATTGTGGCGCCGTTGATACGAATACGCACGGGTTTGATTATTCGTTTTTCTTGTATTTGCGCCACATGAAAGCATCATATCTGGATTCAGGATGTCAAATAGTGTAAGAATGTGCAAACATTTTGTCTGGTTCTTCGTGATGATGTGATTGAAGCGATGCTTTCAAGGGTAGGTAAGGATTTTGTTACTTGTTCATAATGGTTATCTTGATGCTCAACTAAAATTAATCCTAACCTTGCCTACTAACCTATTAAGTTAAACTTAGTACCAATACCTACCAACCTACAACCTATTTGGATCTTTCATATACTTATAACATGCTGCTGCTTCTGCTAACATGCTGCGGAATGCTGGTTGACATGATGGAATGCTGGTATGACAGTGTTCCATGTTTCAGAATTTTAGGTGAATAACCATACATGATGGGGAAAATGTTTTCATCCTAAAAATATGACAAGTGGCTTTATTTCATCTTTGCTAAAAAAATATGTCAAAAGTTTGATTCAACAGCCAGCTGCCAGGTTACGCATGACTTGACAGTTGATGCATCTACTCTACATCATTTCATTTCAGATCCTGTGAAGGTTCTGACAAAATCTGAGGTAAAAATGGCATTATGCAGTTTTGCGGAAAGACTAAATCTATCTCATTTTGTCTTCAGATTTTTTTTATTGGGACACCCAATTGAAATCCAATTTTAGAACGGACGCCATTTAATTGCGTCCCAGAAAAGCTATTTCTGGCACCTAAAAGCTGACTCGCCCCAAAATTGGTCCTCAGCACCTATTTGGTGAATACCAGCACCAATCATGGAAAATGACCTTAATTAGCTGTTTCTGGCACCTATTCATCGGTACGCCTTACTCTTTTTTCTGAATCTGGCACCTAAATGCTGAGCGTAGCACCAATCTAGTAGAAAAATGAACTACTGGCTGGTAGAATCATGTTGCTCTGGTATAATGACCCCTGGAGTCTAGCCTAAAGGTTGCCAGTGCAGCTACACTCTAAGACAGCCCCGTAGTGATCTCAGCATTGTATATGACGTTTAAGTAAGCAAATAATATTGATTTGTTTGAAAAAACAATGTCATTTAAATATTTGGTGGGACATTGTCCGTTGTTTGCCGCGCAGAGTTGTGCCGTGGTTGTGCCTTTTTCATCCGTTTCTTACTTATGTCATATGTGTGCATGAAGCTTTGATTTTGTTTTTGGTTATTGTGTGGCCGGTCAGTCAAACGCCCCTGTAGAAACCGGATGCTGCGTTTGATCGAGATGGAGTCAGACGATGATTGCAGAAAGCTAATAATATTGAAAAGAGGGCCGGTTGCGTGGCATGTCTGTTCAGAGTTGACATTTTGCTTTACTCCAGTTTATGACCTGAGAGCCTGGCTGGAAGTGACGGATCCAAACTTTTCACGTTAAAATGGCTGAGGGTGCAATAATCTCTAGTCTTTACATAACGGGCTGGTATAGGAGCGTCTTGCTATGCTGCACCATAGCTGGCTTGTGATTCTCTTTTGGCTAGAAATGGCATTAATCATTATCTCCAATAGCGGAAATGGCACTTGACATCACCGAATGCAACGTTCATGTTGTTAGGATACATAAAATCAGGAAGATTACGCGAATTAGGTAGGCAAACGTGGAATAAAATAGGTGCTGGATGTTTTGGTTTTGGTGCTGAATCAGCAAACAGCAAATACGGAGTTCAACTAGACGATCTGGCAACTTAAGGCTGTGTGGAAGCAATTAGGTGCCAGATTCAGATATTAGGGGCGAATAAGCATTTTGGGGCTGATCAGCAATTAGGTGCCAGAAACAGCTTTTTAGGGACCAAAAACAAATATTCCCCTTTTAGAACACTGTGACACCATGCCTGTGTGCCAAGTAAGAGGAAGGGTCTACAAGTATACATCAAGATAACCAATTATGGACAAGTTGAGACTTGAGTCATGAGCTCTTATTTGTGGTTACAATACCTTCAACTGCATGATTTTGCACAACTTCCATACAGGCATCCAGACTGGAAAAGGTTCAAGTCCATACTTATTCTGGTGCTTGAATATGGCAGTTCAAAGATGGAAGGCATATGATGCTACAAAATGAAAAAAAAAATAATTCAACTTACAAAAAATAGGTATTCATATCTATCCTAAACTAAACTAACCTAAACTTACCTAACCTAATCCAACCCAACCCAACCACCCCAACCAGCCCAGCCCAGCCCAACCCAGCCCAGCCCAGCCCAGCCCAGCCCAGCCCAGCCCAGCCCAACCCAACCCAAAACCTACAGTCTAAAACCTAGAGCTAAAACCTGCAGCCCAAACTGGAAAACATCCATATGGTGCGCCGGACGCCCGTGAAGCCGTCATGCGCCGAAGTTCGGCGCAAGCTATTTTGCAATTTGCGCTGAAATTTCTGCATTATTTGCGCCGAAGGTTAGTGCCCTTTTGCGTCAAAATTAAGCCACTTATACAAAAAGCACGTTTACATCTGCTGGCCAAGGTTTTATAAACCAGACAGAACGCTCTGGGCCTTAACCACTCCTGACTCCCATGTTTGAGCGTCCAAATTAGTTGATGTTTCCATGGAAGCTGAATACCACAATACGTGTAGCGCACTGTAGCATCGTGCCGTGAAATAAGGCTCGGGACGGAAGTTCCGGGGTCACAAAAATTGGTGTGGCGGTGTTGTCGCGGCTGGCGGGCTCCAGCAAGGGGTTTAAGTTTACGACACCACTCTTGTTTCAGGAGAGGTGTCAGCGATTCGAGACTACTTGGGCATGCGGGCAGCGGGGTCGGCGTGGCTGCCTGCGGCTGCGGCCACACATCTTGGCGTCCTGGAGGCGGAGATGCTGATGGTGGCATGAGTCATCACTGGCTGCCCGATTTCCATGCTCCAAGACTCGCCGTGAGGGCCGAGGCGGGCGTCGTGCCGATGGAGAGATGAGGAGGGATGCGCTGGCATCGCGCCTACTGGCGAAGGCGCTCTCCCTCCCGTCGGAGGACCCGCCGCGTCGTGGCGGAAGCCCCCCCCCCCCAACCGTGACTGAAGTCAGTGACCGGCTGGAGAGAGCGCGGGGGAGCGGTGTGGGACCACTGGAGTGGCGCTGCCCGCCGAGGCGCGCTTATCCACGAGACTGCCCCCGTAGACGCCAACAGACGGCGTCACGGTCCACCTGGACCTGCTGCCGATCGGGGCGTCCGCGACAGCGAGGAGGAGTGCTGCGGAGGCGTGACTGGGAGCGCTCCCCCAGCGTGCGACGTGGGCCTGGGTCGACGGGTCTGCGACCGGGGGAGTAATAGGAAGGCGGCGCTGGGGTCCTCACCGAGCACCCAGA